ACTTGGGGAGCAAAGGAAGTCAAGGCAGCATGGCTCCACTTTGCAACCAGGAGAGGGAGGAGGGACACAGGAGGTATTATGGAGGCACAGAGTTAATGCAGAGGTGGGTGCCCTGAGTTCTGAGGGCTCTTGGGGGATCTGCCTGCCCTACAAGCTGGCAGCCAAACTCAGCTGCTCCTGGAGCAAGGGGTAGGCAAGTCTGGCAGTGCCAACACACGTCCGCCAATTCCTGTGCCCTCTGCAGGAGGGACTTGCTGTGGGGGCTATCCAGCCCTGAACACTTCATGCCATTCCTGTCATCTACTGGCCATTCCAGGGGTGTCACAAGGGCGAGTCTGATGACACTCGCCAAGCGCTTTGCAGATGTGCCCCTTAGCTCCTGGGTCCATCATGGGCACTTTTAGGAGCAATGTATGGACCCCTTAAAGCCTTGCCCATCACCAGCCAGCCACTCCAGCCTCCCCCCAAAACATCCTGACTCATGAACATGGCCCACGCCAGCCTCCCTCCTGGAAGGTTGGAGGGCCCCGTGAGGCTGGGGGTGGCTTGGGCACGTTGAGCTGTGCTGGCAACAGATGGGGCTGTCATACGGGAGGCTCTCGTCAGGCCCCTCTCGCAGGGATTGGCAGCACGAACGCCGCCAGCGCCTGCCAAAAATGTTTGTGTAGGAGGCGGAACGTTCACTTGAGTTTTCCCTTTTGCGGGGGTGGCCGGAGGGGGTGGGTGGGGGGCGGAGTTTGCTCAGGGTCAGATGCAGTGGAGTCGGAAGAGAAATAGACCATGGAGAGGAAGATTGTTTCCCTGCCCCCTTGGCACAAGTTTAAAACTTGAACTTTTCTTACCGAAGCCAAAGTCTGTTCTCCTAGGGCCCTGCTCCGGCCAAGTGCTGACTAGGTGTGGAGGGTGCTCGGTGCCTCTTCACCCCATCTCAAAAAAGATATATTGGAATTGAAAAAGGTTCAGAAAAGGGCAACAAAAATGATTAGGGGTATAGAACGGCTTCTGTATAAGGAGAGATTAATAAGTCTGGGACTTTTCAGCTTGGAAAAGAGGCGACTAAGGGGGGATATGATAGAGGTCTATAAAATCACAAATGGTATAGAGAAAGTAAATAAGGAAGTCTTATTACTCCTTCTCATAATACAAGAACAAGGGGCCACCAAATGAAATTAATAGGTAGCAGGTTTAAAACAAATAAAAGGAAGTACTACTTCACACAACACACTGTCAACCTGTGGAACTCTTTGCCAGAGGATGTTGTGAAGGCCAAGATTATAGCAGGGTTCAAAAAAGAGCTAGGTAGGTTCATGGAGGATAAGTCCATCAATGGCTATTAGCCAGGATGGGTAAGGAATGGTGTCCCTAGCCTCTGTTTGTCAGAGGGTGGAGATGGATGACAGGAGAGAGATCACTTGATCATTACCTGTTAGGTTCACTCCCTCTGGGGCACCTGGCATTGGCCACTGTCGGAAGACAGGATACTGGACAAGATAGACCTTTGGTCTGACCCAATACGGCCTTTCTTATCTTATGATGTAGATGGAATTCCCAGCCTGCAGTTAAGGGAAATTTGCTATGTAAACCTATAGTTACAATCCAGGTATGAAAAACCCTATTCTCTGGCAGTTCAGCCCAGCCCCAAATTGGATCTGGACCATTCAAGTTTAATTAGTTGTGTTCCTTGGATAAGTCACTGACCTGCATTTAAATATCTGAGAGGGCCATTGACTGACACAGAAGCTGAAAACGAACACTAGCCCCTTGTCTCAGCTAGGGTGACCAGATGTCCCGATTTTATAGGGACAGTTCCGATATTTGGGGCTTTTTCTTATATAGGCGCCTATTAACCGCCCCCCGCCCCCGTACCTGATTTTTCACACTTGCTGTCTGGTCATCCCTAGTCTCAGGTTCCTTGTAAATGCCACTGAACGGCAAATGAACTAGGGGATTTGCCCTCCCAGCTCCCCGCTTTGCTCAGTTCCTCCTCCTGCTCCGCCTCGCGGGTTCTGCCCCATACTGGGCTTCGTATAGCGAGGGCCCAGCTAATCCTATGTGCAGCATGGGCAACAGCAGCCGTTCTCCAGGAAGGTTGTGGCCCATTGGTATTCGCCCACTCCACGCAGACGTGCCAGTCAGTCGATGCGGGGCAGCACCGTCTGTTTCAGCTCGGCGCAGCGGCTCGTCCTTGAAGGAGTGAAGTGATGCGGGAGCCGCCCTTGCTTTTGAGCAGCGAGAGGAGTTTTTGGAGAGTGAGAGGTGCAGCAAGAGCCTCCTCTGCTCATGGACAAGTCAAGTGAAATGTTCTTTTCCTAGTCAGGTTACCAATTCAGGCTAGCTTCTGCTGGCATTACCCATGTTGAGAGGCTCCTGGCTCCTTCAGTAGCCTGGCTGAAATCAGCGGAGCAGCTCACCGTAAAGTACTACTCATAATCAGTAATGGCATCGGAACCTGCCCCTACATGACGAGTATTTGCTGGGGAACAGGCATAACTGGGCACAATTTTGTGGTGAATGTTTGCGTGTGAAAAATGGCCATAAATTTCATTTCAGGCCATTTTGCACCCACCAGAGTTTTTGTTCCTTATGAAACACCTCTGGTGAAACAAGAGGTTTCGTCTGGAAATGTTGCGGAAGTTTCCATTTCCGTGTGCAAATTGGGCTCAGCCCAAAGGGAAAATTGAAATGTGAAGGCATGAAGAATGCTGAAGTCTCTGCTCAGAAATGGGACGCACCTTTGAATGCAGGTTTTCAGACTGATATGGGTTCTCGTGGAAGCTTGTGGGGGGGAAAGGGATTGAATGAGAGGGCATAGATTATTCATGTGCTTCATGCCGGCATATTGCCATGATGACTAGTCCATTAATGAAACCTTCTAGTGATGGGAGGGAGGAAAGAGATTCTGAAAGGGAACCCTCTGTGGATAGTTGTCATACAACCAACTGAACAGTTGAGCCTAGGATGGTTTGGTTAGCTTAGGCAACTTTCTCTTTGCCCACATTTCAGATAAACCAGAGGCATAGAGCCTTCTTCAGATGACAAGAGGCAGGTCCAGGTGGCTCAAGAGACATCAGGTGGCTTGCAGCACGTCCCAGTTAAGATATAAATGACCTCCAGCATATAATGGACATAGGGATAGATACTTAGATTGTAAGGTCTTTGGGGCAGGGGCCGTCTCTTGGTTCTGGGCGTGTACCATACGGGTCTGAGGTCCTACTATAATCACAATTAGGCAGAGGTCTCTGAATGGCAGTGCACTAAGGAATGACACCTAAGTACCACGGGGCTGTGATATAAGCACAGGGCTTTTGGAGTTTATGTAATTAAACAGATCAAAAGGGATTCCCTCCAGGGGCATTTCCCCTGCTTTGGACTCTGCTGTTACACACATGATAGCCCATACCCTGCCCCACACGTGTTGTTACCCTTCTCCTTTAACAGACACACTGTGCTATTGTGCACCCTGTTCTGCACCCATGCTAATGCTCAGGGCAAGGAGAGCGAAACAACTATGGTCCTGTCCATGCTTGCCCTGAAACCATGTTAGTCAATCCATATTGCAACACAGCCTGGCTTAGCCAGGTGCTACCAAAAGGAGTCAATGGGAGTTTTGTCATTAGCTAGTCGGAGTGGGCTTGAGTGCACCGTTGCTGTTCCTGGTCTGGCGTGACCAGACATCAGCCAAGTTAGACGCTGTTTCACCAAACCATGCAAACAGCCTGAAGGGCCGCTTCAAAGGAGCCTTCCCACCATAGCGAGACTGATCCTCAAATCACCGCCACCCCCTTCCACACCAGCCCCCACCTGAAACAAACAGTCGGACCAAACTGTAACCCAGACAGAGTGGAAACCTGAACAAGGAGCAATGCCACAGACTCTATGAAGCCCACTAGGGTCTTTGCTATTGCTATGGGCACCCAGACACGACACTGAGAGGTGGCAGAAAAAACTCCTTAGACAGATAACATGGCTCATCTCTCTCTGCTCTAGCCAGGAATCCCGGGTTAACACTGGGTTAGAAAGAACTCCCCCAACTCTTACTATTATGGATTCAGTAACATGGCCAGAGGGCCTAGACCAGTTCGAAATATTATCACGTCCTAGCTGGTGCCCTCACTGGATGGATTTTGTATGGTACAGACAGAAATCTCCTCTCCCCTGTTCCATGCTGGGTGGACCCCATATGGTACGGACAGGAATAGAGGTTCTTCCCCTGCTTCCAGCCAGGCCCAATGCAGAGCCCAGGTCAGCCTTCCCTCTTTGCCCCGTGAATTCCTTTCTGTTCTATTCCCCTTGAGGCAATTAGCCTGGGGATGCAACTGGACAGGGAGTAGCAGTAATGCTGCCACCACAGAACGTGTGGAATTTATCACTGGTCTTGAGTCATCCATAGAACCTGATTCAGGGCTTTGGCATCTCATCCTCAAAAAACCCACAAGGGATGAATGTGATGAATAAGATAACTAATACAGGCCCTGGCAGAGGAGTGGAATTAACCCTTTCCTCGCATGGCAGTGGGGAATCCAGGCACCCAGCAACCCTGCAGTTAAGTACTAATAAATTAATCAGGTCTTTCTCTTCTCTCCCCTACAGAATGCAACTTTCTTGTCTCCTTGTTCCCCCAGGGCACGTTGAGTTCCAGCACATCACCACAGCCCTTCTCCTTTTCTCACATCACCCGGGCCAGGTCACTCCTCAAAGATATGATCGTGGAGGTTTCCTGATGGGCCACGTGGCCTTTGCTGCCTGGGAGCTGGGAGGGTGATGTGGGGGGATTCCGTGAGGGGATCCTGGCAGAGACTGCCTCTCCCAGGCCCCCCTCTTATGTTATTTTAATAGGAGGGGAACATCTGGATCATTATTATTTTCTTTTTTACACAATTCTCCCTAGATGAAGTGTGCAGTGTTAGGAGCACAGGAATCGCCGCACTGGTTCAGACCAGAGCAGGCCCATATTTGCCGATACGCTCACATCTGTCATGCTTTCCGTTTTGTTCGCTCAGGTTCCTGGTCTTTGAAGCTGCCTCATCTGCCTGATGCACCTTTGGAAAAGGAAAATCCCCAGAAAAGGCTCCTCCCTGATGTTTCCTCAGTCCAGTCTTCCACTCTCCCCTGCTAGGAGATCTGGGGACGGCAGCGAAAAACAAAGAAGATTCGAATGGTCTTTGGGGACTCAGACTTCACAGCTAAAAACACGTGGTTCCTCTTTGGAAAAAGAAACCACACCTGCTCTCAGTAACACCCATATCCCAATGTACGGGAAAGCTCTCAGGTTAGGGTGAAGATCAGCTCCCACAAGTAACCCGGACATTCTCCCCTGCAACAGTGGATTATTCTATGGGATTATCCCATACAGGAGAGAGTCCCCAGAGTATGGACAATAGGCTGAGCCTTAAGACTCTTGAAAGGCCATAAAGCATTGAACCCTGCCCAAAGAGACTGCAGAAAGAGAGTACAATGCTGAAGGCAACGTTACTGCAGCCTTGTCTCCAATCTCAGCCTCGCTGTGCCGGGTCCAGTGAAAGGTGCCAGCATTCTTATGGCTTTGAGACTCTACAGGTGGACCCAGAAGTGGGCTATGGCTGTTTGGTTCTGCAGCAGGAGAAAGAGATGGAAGGCAACCAAAGGTGCCAGCCAACTGCAGCCATTTGCCCTTTTAACCCGAAGGAGCAGGAGGAAAAGAATGAATTGCCAGGAGGAAACTTGAGAGAGCATCTCCAGCGGGAGAGCAGGAATACCAATGGAGACATGCTGGGGCCCAAATTCCACAGCTATGGCTTGGCATCTGCTGGTGGGTACCCAGCTACAAGAGACTCCCCACAGTCTGCCCCAGAGCTGCTTCCTTCTGGGGCTAGCACCGGAGCTGAGCCCAGCGAAGAATGGAAAGTGGTGAAGGTTAAACGAGTCCTCATTTACCCTGCTGGCCAGCCGTGGAAAGCAAGTAAGCAAAGTGCCTTCTTCCCCCTTCCCCACACGGCTCTGTCACACCCCCTCTGCAAGGCTATGTGTCACCCAGGCTAAGAGTAATAATTGGGGGCCTAACGTGTTATCCACCATACGTACATAAGAATGGCCCGACTGGGTCAGACCACAGGTCCATCTAGCCCAGTATCCTGTCTACCGACAGTGGCCAATGCCAGGTGCCCCAGAGGGAATGAACAGAACAGGGAATCATCAAGTGATCCATCCCCTGTCGCCCATTCCCAGCTTCTGGCAAACAGAGGCTAGGGACACCATCCCTGCCCACAGGGCCGACTAAAGGGGGCGGGAAGCCGGTACAAATTACCGGGGCCCAGCTTCCCCCACCTCTCGTCGGCCCTGTTTAGTTGGTCCGCCCTTGCTGGGGGGCCCAAAAATTTTTTTCCACTGGGGCCTGAACCCGCTCTCGGCGGCCCTGCCTGCCCATCCTGGCTAATAGCCATTGATAGACCTATCCTCCATGAATTTATCTAGTTCTTTTTTGAACCTTGTTATGGTCTTGGCCTTCACAAGATCCTCTGGCAAGGAGTTCCACAGGTTGACTGTGCATTGTGTGAAGAAATACTTCCTTTTATTTGTTTTAAACCTGCTGCCTATTAATTTAATTTGGTGACCCCTAGTTCTTGTGTTATGAGAAGTAGTAAACAACACTTCCTTATCTACTTTCTCTACACCAGTCATGATTTTATAGACCTCAATCATATCTCCCCTTAGCCAAGTAGAGTGATTTCCACAGCTCCTCCTGGGACAATCCCCTGGCCAGCCTGCCCAGTCAGACACAGGAAAACACCCAACCGCCCTAATTTCCTAGGGGAAAGCCCAGTGACATCCTAAGGGGCGTGGATGCCTGGAGCTTCTTCATTACCGCACAGTTTCAACAGATGGAAATCCCGAATCTTTCCAAGTGCAGTGTGTGTGTGGAGGGGGGTGTATGGGGGGAGAGATGTGATTTACAGGAAGCAGCCATCTCATGTTCCCTGATTAAAGGCCCGGTTGATTGATAGAGCTGTTGGAGCTTCTCGGATCCTTTTCTGTGTGTGAATTCAGTGCCAGGTGCTGGGTTACTCTCGCCGGACACTGCAACCTTCCCCTTAGCCACAGAACAGACACGCCCCCCCCCCCAGTCCTTTGTGGAAGGAAGGATGCCTCATTCTCCATGGCCTAGTGAGTCTGTGGGTCCTTCGCTGAGGCTGCCAGGAAGGATGCTGGCTCTGGTCAACTCCGGTGGCTTTTTCTGGGATGTGGACACCTGTCTGCTTGTAGCGGGAGGGGTACGTCCAATTCATTTCATCCCAGCTCCTGATCAGCCATCAGAGGATAACTTGTGGTCACTACCCATCCTGGGCTCTGTTAGAACTGGTGGCCTACAAGCAAACGGCTCGGTCCCCCATGACTTGCCCTTTGGCTAGCCACTCCCATATAGTTCAAGCTCTCGTTTAAAAATTAGATGCTTTATTTTAATCTCCTCAATTCCTTCACTTCCATCTGCACCCGTTCAATTAGGATCACCTTTGCGGGGCTGTAACTGTCTCACTTTTCTGGCTCTAACCACCCTTTGAACCATCCTTTCAAATGCAGCCGCTTGCAAAACCACTCTCTGTCAATAACACCCCAACCTTGTATTCTCGCTGTAACCTCACTTAGAAGCCTGTGGTAACCCCTCTTACAGTATTAGCATCACCAGACCCGGGAACCGTTATTTTAACACATTTCCCATCATTCTTGACATTTTGTTCCTGATCGGTTATTATCTCAATTGCCAAATATTGCAAAAGCAGATGTGTCAATTGCACCCTGGTTTGCAAGTACCCCCCCCCCCAGTTTATTTTATCTATCCATATAGGCTAGGATTTTCAAGGGACTTGTGATTAGGGGGAGCTCTGGGTTTGGGTTCCTGACTTGAGATGCCTGATCGTCAGAAAGTGCAGAACCTGCCGTCTTAAAATCAAGCTCCTTTGAGGGACCTCAAGACGAGCAACCTCAAAAATGGAGGCACTTGCATCTGAAGAAGGGAGGTTCTTACCCACGAACGCTTATGCTCCCAATACTTCTGTTAGTCTTAAAGGTGCCACAGGAGCCTCTGTTGCTTTTCTCAAAAATTGAGGCATCTCAAATCACTAGCTGCTTCTGAAAACCTTGGCCATACTATTTGTATGCGTGCGCCATTAGCTAATCTTTTGGCAGCAGCGAGGGTAGTGCAGGACACTGCGAGCCAGACCAACCAGCTCCAAATATCTCCCGGTCTGCTGTTGTTCTCCATTCAGGACGGGAGCTCTGCTTTGAGAAAGGTCAGGGTTCGTTGGATCCAACCTTGGCGCTTTCACAACACACACCACAATTTCAAAAGCACAGCTGGAATTTTAAAGCAACTTAACAGGGTTTTTTTTTGGAAACACTTTGTCCATCCCGGCTCCTTCTCCTCCAAGTGAGACCATGGTAAGTCACTGCCTGTGAGCTATCAGGATTGCTACAGAACTCATTGGGAGGTCAGGTCTCATATCCATGTTTGGATGCAGGATCAGGCCCTTTTGCTTCAGTTGGGGAATAAATGCCTGGAGAAACTGAAGCCTTGTAAAGCAAAGGCCTGATTTGAGCCAGATGCCCCCGGCAATGAAAAAAAAAAGTAGGTAACAAGAGAGAAAATATAGAAGACGGCAGGCAGGGCCGGCTCCAGGGTTTTAGACGCCCCAAGCAGCCAAAACAAAAAAAAGCCGCGATCGCGATCTGCGGCGGCAATTCGGCGGGAGGTCCTTCGCTCCCAGGCGCAGTGAGGGCCGTCCGCCGAATTGCCGCCAAATACCTGGACGTGCCGCCCCTCTCCAGAGCCGCCGCCCCAAGCACCTGCTTGAGAAGCTGGTGCCTGGAGCCGGCCCTGACGGCAGGACCGGCAGTGTGGTCTTGAGGACAGGCAGTGTGGTCTAGTGGGTAGTACATTGGACTATGACTCAGCAGACCTGGGTTCTGTTTGCCACTGACCAGCTGTGTGACCTTGGGTATGTCACTTTCCTTGTTTTGGTGGGGAGGGATAGCTCAGTGGTTTGAGCATTGGCCTGCTAAACCTAGGGTTGTGAGTTCAATCCTTGAAGGGGCCATTTAGGGATCTGGGGCAAAAATCTATCTGGGGATTGGTCCTGCTTTGAGCAGGGGGTTGGACTAGATGACCTCCTGAGGTCCCTGACATTCTATGATTCCATAATTGTCTCGACATCAGGGCAGCTTTAAGGTTTCCCCGTGGGCATTTTTTCTGCAGAAAAAAAGGGCTCCCAGTAATGTCAGTGGAATCAAAACCCAATCACAGTGCTCAACAGACAGATGCGCCAGAGACTGGAACAGCCCGGCTGCCACGTGTTGGCTCTTAGGAGGCCTTTGTGAGATGCCCATACTGGTGTGAGTGCAATCCCCAGTAGAGAGATGTTCACGACTGGTGCTGCCCTCTGGTGGCAGTGTCAGGACCAGTGGGACCGTTTGAGCCAGTGACGATGAACCTGCCCTTCCTATTGGATCTGGCTAGAGGCAGATGGGTGGAGCAGCGTGTGGAGAAAGGATTGTACCATTCCTGCCGCATGCTGTGCCCGTTGGGTGGGTTTCACTCGCCGGGACTGTGGCATTGGCACTTTCCAGCCACCCCAGTTTCCCTTTATTAAAAATGGAAACACACAAAACCAAACCCTTAGTTACCGAGAACAGAAAACTCCAAATGGAATAAAGCGGAGAAGCCATCCCCTCCCCTCCCCCAGCTCAGACGGACACAGGCAGGAATGCCGGCGTGGTGATTCTAGCCCTCAGCCTTGGATATATATTTAAAGAATGCCTTAAAAAAAAAACAGATGAAAGAGGCGAGATGCTATTTAGCCAGGGGGCTGACTTCCCTGCGACGAGCATGGTGAGATACTACGCTATGCCCTGCCAGTCCACTGTGCTCGATGTAGGTGGCAGGGGATGGGGTGGCTATACACCTGGTAGAAATGGCAATAGAGCCATGGCCACATTGGTTGATACCGTCTCCATACTGTAGTCCTTAACCTGTCCAGTCACAAGTGTGGGAACATCCTCTTTGCTATCTATTTTATGTAGCTGACCTCCCATCACCATCGGATTGGAGCCCCTCACAATTTGTATCCCCACTACATCCCTGGGATTATCCCCGTTATACAGGTGGGGAACTGAGGCACAGAGCGGCAAAGGCCCAGATCCTCAAAGGTAATTAGGTTCCCAACTCCCATTGACTTTAGGCATCTAAATCCTTATGAGGATCTGGGCCTAAGAGACTGGCAGAGCAGTGAATCGAATCCGGATCTCCAGTGGAGAGGAAGGATGCTCCAGTGGTTAGAGCACGACTAGCCTAGGACATTTGAGGCCTGGGTTCCAGTTCCTGCTCCTCCACAGGTGACATTGTTAAGTCCCATAGTCTCTCTGTGCCTGAGTTCCCCATCTGTGAAAGGAAGGTAATAGCCATGCTGCTAGGTGAAATCCGCTAAGGATTGTGATACTCTGGTGACAGGGGCCTTATGCCTAATTGAGCTCAATAGACCATCTGGCCTCCCTTAGCAATGTGCCAAGAATGGGAGCTCCTCATGCCTTTTGCTATAGGGCAGGGAATTTGTGGGATACTCCCTTAGGCACCTGGGAAAATACATAGACCTGTTTACTTGTATCTGTGTTCGAAGCAGGGGTCGCTTCTTCCCATCCCAGCCAGTGGACATCATAATGATGAATTTGTGACATCACTATCATTTCCATGGCAGCAGCCTGTGATGTCATGGGGACAGGATTATGATGTCACAGAAGGATCTTGCTGAAGGCGAAGCTGGGCAGGGAGGGGAGGGGAGAAACAGAGCAAGCCAGGATCCTTCTGGGGGGCTAGAGGGGCATGTAATTAGTCCCCAGCTTGGAGATAGGGGGTGGGAGACCCACACACCTTGGGGTGCAGACTCTGCTCCAGGCTAGAGATTACCAAGAGCAGTCGCAGCAGGCTTCAGGCAAGTGGATCGCTGTAGTCCTCCCCCCCACATCTGTCCCATCTCCCCCCATAGGGACGGTCACGGCAGAGAGCAGCTGCAGAGCGCGGGAGTGGCAGTGTGGCCTGTTCACCCCCCTCACCCAGTGGGCGCTCCAGGGGGACGTCTGGCGACAGGATTCAGCCCCCTCTCTAGTGGGGGAGTTCCCCTTTCCGGAGCTTGCCGATAGTCATTGCCAGCCAAAGGAGAGTGCCGCTAAAGCTGGGGAAAGTGACCAGAGAGCAAGTGTGAAAACTCGGGCTGGGGGCTGGGTGGGGTGGGACAGGCCCCATGTCAGACAAAGCCCCGACTATCAGGACTGTCCCTATAAAATCGGGATCTCTGGTCACCCCACGTTGGGCCAGGGGGGACTTGGCTCTTGTGGCCTGGGCCAATGATGAGCCGCCGAGGGCAGGGAGAAAGTGAAAGCCACCCGGCGCCCTGGGCGGGCCGGGCAGCGCTAGGACCTGGCGGCAGCCCGGCCCAATGTGCTTTGCTCGCGGAGCGGCTCCCAGCCCGGCAGAGCCGGGGGGGGGAGCGGGGGGGAGGCAGAGTCCCCGGCTCCTGCTCGCCGCGGGAGGGGGAGCGGAGCCGCTTTGACAGACGCGGCCAGTTGCTGACACCCGATCCCCGGGCCAGGGAGCGCAGAGCAGCCCGGCGGCTTAAAGCGCAGCGGCGCGGGGAAGCGGCTCAGAGCAAGGCGCGCCCCGGGGGGAACCGGCCCAGACCCAAACGGAACCGAAGGTAACCGGGGCGCGGGGAGCCGAAGGCGTCCCGGGGCAGGGGCGGCGGGCGGGGCGCTTTGCCCGCTGCGGCTGGGGGAAGAGGGGGAAAGTCCTGCTTTGGGGGGGCAGCCAGGGGACCCCCAGATCATCCCGCAGCTCGCAGCCCACCTGCACCCGCCCAGGCCAGTGACCGCTGGGAGCAGCCAGGGGCGAGGGGAGCCCCGGACCGGCAGCTTCTGCCGGGGATCCGCCAAAGAGCGCCCCGGTCTCTCCACGCGCGCTGGCCGGGTCTGCGCCCACACCCCGCCGCCCTCCGGGCGCGCTGGGCAGCTCCGCGGGGATGTCACTTTCTGACTGCGGATCCCTTTTGGACGGGCTGCGGCGGCGGCTGGGGGGTTTTCCAAACTTGCCAAGCAACGGGCAGGTTTCTCGGCTGCTCCAGCGAACTTCCCGGGGGCTCCTCGCGGCTGGGGACCAGCTCGCTGCGACGTAAACAAGCCCCGGGGGTTGTTTTCTGGGGCGGTAAATTGACACCCGTGTGTGTGTGTGTGTGTGTGTGACACATGATGTGCAGCCTAGATATTAATGAGTAACGCAAAACTGCTGCTTGTCCCAAGAGCCGAGCTGGGAAGCCGGGTCCTGGATTCAGCCGGGTGCAGAAGCACAGAGTTGTCTCTGTCAGCTGCAGGTTGGAGTTGGGAAAAGTGCAGAGAGGGTCCCGTCGGTTGCTTGCCGGACCCCTTGCCTGCTCCAGCTCTCTGCCGCAAACGTGCTTGGGCGTCTTTTCTCAAAACCTGGGCATGGATGTGTGGAGAGTTGGTTATTGTAAAGCCTCCATGCTGGAGCTGCTAAGCGGTGCAATATGTTATTAGGAGGCATAGACCTGGTCTTGTGTTAAAGCCAAGCTGATTTGATGGGGTTTTGCACCCCCCAGCTTCACAGGGCACCCTCCCTTCCTGCCATCCCACCCCACTCCTTCCTAGCCCAGGAGACTTCATCTGCCCTCCCGGCCCCCTCTGGCAGGGGGCTGCACCGGGGGGATTCCAGCCGCAGCCACACCACCTTGCATTGGAGACAGGAGGTCTGCCTATTTGCACCCTGTCTGCAGCCAAGGAGATCGCTTGTGTGTTGTCCGAAGGATGTTAAAAAGTCCCCCTAGTGCCTGATCCCCCGCCAGTTAGCAGGAACCAATCTGAACAAGACGATCTCTCCAGCAGGTCCCTGGTTCCTGCAAAGGAAGGACTAGCCAGAAGTGGCTCCAAGGGCTTTGTTGCCCTAGAACAGTGATACTCAGACCTCAGTGGTTCAGGAGCCAAATTAGCGACCAACGTTCCCCAAAAGAGCCGTGGTCGTGTGTATACAGTCTCGGTTATTCTCACCAAGTATTATTCTTTTATCAAGTACAGTTGGTTAATAACACAGTAAAAGCCTCCCGATTGGCTAATAACTTAGACTGGCTAATAATTAAATCACACGGCGTTTCCATATCATGTGCTGCAGAGCCACTTGCAGCTGTCGAGCCTAGATCCTGGCAATACCCAGACAACCCAGATTTTCCCCGGGATATGTCGCACCCCAGCGCAGGGATGGAGGCCCTGGCAGGCTGGAGCGAGGGGAGAAGTTCTCCTTGAGACACCTGTTGGTCTGGCTGGATTCCACCTGTACCCGTTGCTCATCATTTGGAATCATCCTCCAGGTCTGCCCATCATTCAGAGCTTGCGCCATTGCTGATGTGTTAACAGATGTATTTTGCCACCCCAAGCACGGCGGTCAGGCGGCTTTCGGTGGCTTGCCTGCGGGAGGTCCGCCGGTCCCGCGCCTTCGGCGTACCCGCCACCGAATTGCCGCTGAAACCGCGGGACCGGCGGACCTCCTGCAGGCAAGCCGCCGAAGGCAGCCTGACTGCCGCCCTCACAGGGACCGGCAGGCCGCCCCCCGCGACTTGCTGCCCCAGGCACGTGCTTGGAGCGCTGGTGCCTGGAACCGCCCCTGTGTGTTAAACAGAAATCTGACTCTGATATTGAGGCAGGAGCCCCCAGGCTGTGACATTTGAGCAATTTGTATAGTGGGGGGTGCTGAGAGCCATTGAACCAAACTGTAAACCCTGCATCTGATGGAAACCACTTCAAGCCAGGGGGTGTGGCAGCCCCCTAGTTCCAGCACCCGTGCCCCCGGGGGGAGTTTGTTTAGTCAAACTTCCCGTTGTTTGCTTTTCTAAGGTGTAGTTCTGGAAGTGAATCAGGTGCTGGATTGACCGGCCCAGAGCTAGATGCCCTCTGCTATGACGCGGAGCAGGCAGGGGCAATGGGATTGCCCTGCAGTGTGCCACCCCCTCCCTTCGGAAGGCCTCCTCTCGGGAGGAGACAGCTTGGTCTCCCGGGCTTGTTCAGCGTTGGCTTCTCTGCTGAATGGCAGTGGTGGTGGCTTTCGGATACAGACACTGCTGTGCCCTGGACTAGACTGAGACGATCCACTCCTGTGACGCTGCAGGGATTTCCATCTGTTACCTTTTCCTCTCCCTCCACCTCTGCCACAGCTGCTGTTTTGCCCCTTATCTTTGCGGAAGTTTAATTTTCCTTGTTTAAAGTACGGCACCTGACCTCAGCAGGCGAGAGCCAATCAGGCTCCCGTCTCTTCCAGGGATTTTGGCTGGGCTGCTCCCTGGCACCGCACAGGCGCTTTGCGAGTGGTTGCCCGTTTACATACGTATACAGACGAGATCGCCTGCTCTCTGGCCACGCTCAGGGCTGAGGGGCGTGCTGGTGATCTGCACCTGGACGAACACAGCTGCCACCCGTTGAAATACAGATGCTCTATCTGCCGCACTGACCGACCCGCCAGAGCCCCAAAGTTTGCTGCTTCCAAAGCTATTGTGTGGCAGTTTCCTGCAGGTTTAGACGGAGTGTGTGCAGCCCACCTTGGCACTGGGGAAGGCCTCCTGGAACGCAGCGGCAATAGGCACTGAGTTGCGGGAGAAGCACTGGAGGTCAATGGGATTACTGTGGGGCATGTTGTGATAGCTGTCGATTTATTGAGTTAATCTGAAGTTTTAACTCACGTCTGCAGCAGGATGCAATCCCCAGCTTTCACCCACTTATTTGTTTTCCACCAACCCCTCCATATTTTGCAAAGGCGGCGGCGTTTTCCTCCTGCTTCCCATCTCCTCTTGCCCACGTGCAAAAGGAAGCTAGACACTCCCCCGAGTGTTCCAGTTGAGTTTGTTGACGGCCCCCAGGAGATGTTGCCAGACCACTGTATTCCATTGCCTTTCCAAACACAGCACCAGAGACACCTGTGGCATGTCCCACCAAAAGCTGGGAACCTACCCAAAGTAGGGAAGTGTGGGGTGAGGCTCCCCCAGACCAAGTTAGGGTTGGCATTTCCTTTGGGTCTGTAGTGCCCTAGGTCACATGGAGTTTTGACATCTGGGGGGAGGAAGATTTGAGGCCAGAAAAGAGGCCAAAATTTCATACGCGAAGCCCAGAACTGGAAAATACATATTTTGATTTGGTTTGTGGGCAGAAAGTTTCACATAGCTGTAGTTAAGGCGAAAGATCAGTTGTTTCTTGCCAGAAAACCTGCCTTCATTTCCTCCTTGTCAAACGCTCAAAACATTGGAGCGAAAGTTCCCCCCGTGGTTTTAGATGTGGCGTTGATGAACCCGGTTTCTTTCCCTGAGTTTGGTGCCCGGCGGGAAGGTTTTTCACTCAGTTCTCTGGTACTTGTGTCACCACTGAACTGCCCAGCCTGCTGGCTTGGGGGAAGCAAAGTGGTCCCACCTGGAAATCTGTTGGAGACCTGAGCCTATCCACCACCGGATCGGCTTCCCCGCTGTGGGTTACAAGCTGTGTCATAAGATCACTCAGCCACATTAGGTAACATTCCTGGCATAATAAAGCCAGGTTGCACAAAGGGCAACTCACACCTGATACAGTTGTGTTGTTACCGGAATGGAATCCAGGTGCTCCGCTTGTTTGGCATTGTCTGGGAAGTACCTTTACCACAGAGTTGGTATAATCGTTGTCAGAACCTCGGGCAAATAACCCAGCCAGCCCCTGCTCTTCCTCCACCTCGCAGCGTCCAAGATAATCCGCTGGGAGGAAAACAAGGATCATATGAAGAGCGACTCTTCTTTGAGAGTGTGAGCACCTGGGTACGGTTGGATGGGACTACATTTCATTTCATGAATCTGTCAGGAGGGTCTCTGGTCTGCTGCAGACGCTGGTCTCGGGAGGCAGCTTGGCGGTGTAAAGCCGAGTTTCAGAAATGGCTTTGGTGCCATTACTGAGAGACTGAATTTATCTCATTTCATTCTGGTGTCACGTGGAAGAACTCTGCCCTGATTTGTTGTGTTGGTCAGAGATGGAGCTTCCTACTTGTCTCCATATTCTCCACACTCCACTGGCTGGTAGAGGCACCTCCATTTGTGCGCGGATTGCCTGCGACACTGTGCTGTGAGGTGATGGGGTTCTCGGGTGTGGAAAAAAGCTCTTCATTGGCAAGGGCTGGCTGCTGCTCCGTAGTAATCTGTGTTTCCTTTACTGTACCATATTAACAATGCTGTATCTGGAGTTAGATTCATGCCCTCTCTCCTTGGTTGTTTGGAAGCAAATAGTTTGTTCAGTGCAGTGGCATTTCCTGAGCCCTCTTCCGTGCCACGGGGCCTTTAGATGTCTTGGAGGAGAATTGTGGAGCTTTGGGATGTCAAAGGCACCCGATGGATGCAGGATATTGGTAGAAAACCGAAATCGAACCTTTTTGAAAATCACCTGCCAAATCTTGAGTCTGGGAGCTGATGTTTCCTCTTCCAGCCCATTAACACCATTGGCCTCATCTACTAAACTATTGGCATAGGTCGTCTCAGTGCGCGGGCTTTCCCTTGTGGAGGTAGAGTGCAGCATGCCCTTCATCCAGCCAAGTCACTTCCTCTCTTCCCCAAATGTGCTCCATGCTGTTCTGGCTTAGGGGCTCTCCCATGTGTCCACAGCACAGTTGAGCTCAGCATCGGATACTTTGCGTCTGGGTTTGTTGTGGGACCTTTAAACACAAGGGGTCTTGAGACTTTCCCTTGTTCTATCCAAGGTACCCTTTGGCTCGGCAACCATAGCAGTAATAGGCCGCAAAGCAGCAGAAATGGCTTGGCGTGGAATCTTGGCCCACCCAGGTCAATGACCCACCGAACTCCCATTGACATGAGTGGGGCTGGAGTCTCTCCGTTGTTTGACACCGATATCTGCGTCACCGGGCAGTACGTCAGGGTTTGAGGCAGGGGTAAGATCACCGTCTCAGGAAGAGCTAGGTTCTGGTGTCATCGGTCACCTGAGGGTTTGCAAGTTCCACTTCCCTGTGCAAAATAGCCCTTTGCAACCGGACCCTGCCACGGCTAGGTAAACTGAGCAGGGAGGAATTCTGTTTTCTCTTTGGCTGGGAAGGGGAGGGTGACCAAAAAAGCCCTTCCTCAGCCTCAGAGGCACAGGCCATGTCCTTGCTGCAAGAAGGTCGACTCTAACGGGTCCGGAAAAAGCTGTTAAGCCCTGAGCTTTGGGGGCATTGCTGGAAGTCATGCCCGGGACATTTGGAAACCTAAGGAGCTGGTTAAGTGACAAGTGCCTGTATAACCCAGCAGCTCTGCTGCATTTCGGGATCTGTCACAAACCCCCCTTTCTCATGATTTCCAGTCTGGCCGCCAGCTACAAAGCAACCAGACAGACCCTCTGACGGCCGGCGGGGTTGCTGCTCACAGCGGGGAGGAGACGAGACGTCCCCATCCCCAGAAACCCTAGTCCTGGGCCAGGAATGGATGTGGCCCTTTTGTCCCGCAGGTTAAATGACCACGGTCCATGGCTGAATCGGCGCTATGAGGGGGGAGGGGAGGCAGGTAAGCAGAAGGCCCCTGCTGGAGCGAGACTGCTGATGCTGGGGAGTGACCGAATGAACGCATCCCGGAGTGCGTCCTTGGGCGTGGAGGGAGGGGTGTATGCCAAAGGGCTGATTCCCGCAGTGCCGCTTGCGATGCCAGGGGGAAGCGCGGCCGCAGCAGGTGGGAGCTGGCGGTGTGGGTGATTGAAGAAGAACATTTGAAATGGACTTTTGATGCAAAAGACCTAGACTAGCGGCTAGAAAACCCAGCTGGCATCACTGGCAATGTGGAGTGATAAATATAGGGACCAGAATGGCCATTTAAGAAAATACCCCCCATCGGAGGAAAAAACGTAAAGTACCTTTGAAAAGTTTGGGAAAGGCCAAAGTGAGACTGAGCTGGTTGTGGGGAGGGGAGTTCCACAAAGCCAGGTCACCTGCCAACTTCCCATGCCCTGTGGCACCCTTCCTTAACGGAGGGTGTGTGAGCACAGATGCCCGCCAGTCCCGGGCTTCAGGAGAAGCGCTCAGATGCAGTGCCCTCATCAGCAATAATACGTAGGCCTTAAACAGGGCTTTTCTTCTTCAGATCGCAGGACGTGCACCAACCCGTTTGTCCTCATACACCTGGGAGGCGGGGAATTGCTGCTATTCTCCCTGGGAGGGAAACTGAGGCAGAGAAGAGAGGTCAATGTTCTCAAGCGTGGGTGCGGATTCTGGGCGCGCCCTGGGCCTGCCTTTCATAAGAGCTGGACCCTCATATCTCCAGTGGGAGTTGATGGGAGATGCGGGTGCTCCTCACCTTTGAAAACCAGGCCCTTGGGGGGTCTACGGTTGGAATCTCCAAACTCAAGCCACCCAGAATCAGTGGCCGGTTTTCAAAATTCCTCGGTAAGTGACTTGTTCAAGGCCTCAGCTCTGGTGTAAATCAGTGGAGTTGGCTTAGAGGGTCAAAGTTAGACCTTAGGAGTTCCTGGCTCCCAGGCCTGTGCCGAGGCCATTAGAAAACATCTGTCTCTGCCACGCTGACCAGAGTGCGTGTATGTACACTTGTTGTGCCCACACATCTTGGTGATGCTGTGTGTCAGCGTGCGAGCGAGACTGGCCTTCGCAGTGCAGCTGGTCTGATCAGGGACTCACTGGCCAAGAGCAGATTCATCCTCAGAGCTAGAGAGCAAGCCCGAAAGGCCCCCCTGGTCGCTATTCAAAGGCAGTAGCAAGATGGAGAGACTCCGAAATGGCTCCGTTGAGAGCTGTGCTTCTCAGGCAGCCTTGGACACAAAATAACTTGGACGGGTTTGGAGTGGTTCAGCATGAAATTCACAAACATCTGGAGCCGGTGGCTTGTTTCTCAGCAGCTCCAGCATTCCACAGCCATATTCCTCCTTTCTCCCTCAGAACTAAACACCGAGAGGGCGACCCCGCTGAAAATGGAGCCCAGATCGACCCTGGCCCCTCTCCAGCCAGTGTCAGCCTCGCTGGCTCGCGGAGGAAACACTGCTTCCCTCCTCTGTGCTGTTGCCAAAGCAAAGCCAAGGCAAATGTTTGTTGCATCTTTTTAAAAAAAGAGAAGATTTTGACCTCCAATGTCCCTGCTTTAGACAGACTCATCATTTCCAGGAGAAGAGAACCATATGCTCTTTCTTTCTTTCTTTCTTTCTTTCTTTCTTTCTTTCTTTCTTTCTTTCTTTCTTTCTTTTCTTTCTTTTCTTTCTTTTTCTTCTCTCTCTCTCTCTC